AGAGAGAAGGTTGCAGACGTTTTCTAGCTCTTTATTGACTCAGTGGGTCAAAGCCATTTGGGGTGCGCAGCCAACTCTTGCCATCAGCTGTCACTCTGGAGGATTATCCCCCTTGGGTGGCTGGTTTCCTGCTTCTGATCCCAGAGAGGGAGGGAGGAAGACGAGATCCTGACATCACCCCCCCCTCCCGCCCCACCGTTGCTTAACCCTCTGCGGTTAACCCGCCCCTGGCTGCTCTTCATTTCTCTGGAAAAACCGCTAAACTCTGCACAGGAAACCCACAGAACTCTGAGCGGTGGGGAGCTGGCAATGCGACCCAATGAGAACCATGTCAGAGGCATTTGGAGATTTTGATGGGAAGGCTGGCCTTTCAACTGGAATTGGACTGGTCGAAGGCCTTGAGACCGGATCAGGGGTGCTGGGAGGGAGCATGTCTGGCTTCAAGCTCCCGTCAGCATGGAATTCAAATCCCAAGCTTCTGGAGGACTCGTCCTAGCTGAGAAACCTGATGATTTTTGAGGCTTCTTCCAACTGTATGTTTTTTTTTTAACTCCTCAGCCGGCCTCATGGAAATGGACCACACCCTCTCGCTGTTCCTCTTCTTCCTTACTCTGGCGGAGGACTCCGCGCAGATCGAAGACAACAAGATCCCCAGCCTGTGCGCCGGGCAGCCCGGACTGCCGGGGGCTCCAGGGATCCATGGGAACCAAGGCCTGCCGGGCAGAGATGGGCGTGACGGCCGGGATGGGGCCCCTGGGATGCCGGGAGACAAAGGTGACGTGGGCACTACAGGTGAGAAGGCGAACTGCGTTGCAGAGGGGCGCCTGTGTTAGTCTGGGATCGCCAAAACATTTTTTTTTTAACCATAACCTCTTATTCCCCCACATCTTATACCAACAGATATGACAGAGGTTCTTGTGACACTGTAAAATTAACAAGCTTCTTGGGATGTAAGTTCCAGGATACCACAGGGCAGCTGAGATAGTGGGTCAAAGTTGCAAAAAAATTAAAAAATCCTATGTCATATAAATGTGACCGTCTTTAAGGCATCACAAGAATGTTCATTGTATCTATTTGTATAAAACTTTCTGGGGAAAAGCCAGTGTTCTTCACTGGTCTTTTATTGCTTGTAGGACAATCACATCCATGGGATCAGTACCCACAGTTTCACTTACCCACTGCCTGAAAATATTAAATAACACACACCCGGGAAATACACATTTCCGAGATGTATCACCAAAACTGGCCACTAGGGGGAACCAGAGACTATGCTATAATATAACAGTGGTTCTTAACCTTTGTTACTCAGATGCTTTTAAACTGCAACTCCCAGAAACCCCAGCCAGCACAGTTGGTGGTGAAGGCTTCTGGGAGTTGCAGTTCAAAACTCCTGAGTAACCCAAGGTTAAGAACCAGTGCTATATAATATATCCACACTTTCTGGCATCCACAGGGACGGATTCCTGGCAGATACCACAATCCTACTGTTAATATATCCACATTTCCTGGCATCCACAGGGACAGATTCCTGGCAGATACCACAATCCTACTGTATTGTATTTGAGCAGACACTTGAAAATTGTTATTTTAGGAATCTAATTTGTGATTTGAATGATGTGCCTTTATGTGGCTTGTTTGTCATCCTGAGAAAGCGTGGTTTGTAAACTGAATGAATGAATGAATGACCAATAGTACTACTACTAACAGCAGTAAGAAGAACACATTTTATTTGGCTTGTTCGTCATCCTGAGAAAGTGTGGTTTGTAAACAGAATGAATGAATGAATGAATGAATGAATGAATGAATGAATGAATGAATGAATGAATGAATGAATGAATGAATGACCAATAGAACTACTACTAACAGCAGTAAGAAGAACACAAGTAATGATAACAAATAATCATTTTCATTCCCTAAAGGACCACCTGGCCCAAGGGGAGAAAAAGGGAGTGCTGGCACAAATGGATTCCCGGGAGAGAAGGGGGTGCCGGGGGAATGTGCTGTGGCCCCCCGTTCTGGCTTCAGCGCCAAGCGCTCAGAATCCCGCAGCCCTCCGCTGCCCGACCAGCCAATCGTCTTTGACCTTGTGCTGATCAACGAGCAGGGCCACTACGACAGCAACACGGGGAAGTTCCTGTGCGAGATCCCGGGCGTTTACTACTTCGCCGTCCATGCCACCGTGTACCGGATGAGCCTCCAGTTCGACATCATGAAGAACGGGAAGTCGGTGGCCTCTTTCTTCCAGTTCTATGGGAACTGGCCAAAGCCGACCTCCTTGTCGGGCGGCGTGCTGGTGCGCCTGGAACCGGAAGATGAAGTCTGGGTCCAGGTGGCGGTGGGAGATTACACCGGCTTCTACTCCAGCGTGAAGACAGACAGCACCTTCACCGGATTTCTGGTTTACTCCTATTGGCAGAACTCTCCTGTCTTTGCTTGAGGGGCTGAGGGCGGCCCCGCCACGGCCACACAACAAGCAGGGAACTTCTGGGCATTCGCTCTAACCCAAGGGGCAAAACTCTCTTTTAGCTGATGTATGTGTAAAAGACCATTGGATCTTTCTAGGCACAGAAGGGTTTCTCAGTAGCTGCATTTTGCGTGTTACTCACCATATCACCCTAATAAACAGAATGTATTCTTTGAGAAGGGTGTAAGCCACCCTTTCCTTCATTCTCCTAGGATGGTAGGAAGCTATCTTATACTGAGTCCTGTCCTTGGTCCATCTAGGTCAGTATTGCCAACTCTGTCTGGCAGCAGAAAAGAGAAGCAAAGCGAAGCATTCTGCTTATATACCGTCCCGTAGTGCTTAAAACACTTAGAGGCAATTTACATTTTAATTATGCAAGTGACACACTCTCCTCACCCTAGTGAGCTGGGATAGAAGGCGGAGTGAACCTCAAGCTGGCTGTCAGAATCCGCTTGGATTCAATGCTGATCGTGAGCAGAGTTTTGACTGTAATACAGGGGTGGGCAATTAATTTCTATAGGGGGGGCCACATGAAAAATCTGAACTGTGTTCGGGGGCTGAACCAACTTTACTTAAAAATAAAACAGTGATTTTATGATTGTTTTTATTTTAAACTTGTTAATCTTCACTCCCGTAGTGCTTAAAACACTTAAAGGCAGTTTACATTTTAATTATGCAACCAAAACAGTCCCCCACCCCCAGCCCAGGGAGCTGGGTAATCAATTTACCGACCTTGGAAGAATAGAAAGCGGAGTGAACCTCAGGCTGGCTGTCAGAATCCGCTGGGATCCAATGCTGATTGTAATACTACAGTTTAACCACTGCACTGTGAAGCTTCAGACAAACTATCCCTGGTATATCCTGGTAGTCTCTTATTCTGATGAATAACAAGACCAGAGCCTGCTTCTGAAATTAGACAGGATTGGGTATGTTCGGGGTGGTGCCCTTTAGAAAGAAAGCTAAGGATGAGACCGAGTGCTGGGTTCAAATTCCTGTTCAGCCCTAAGTGATTTGTGGCATTGTTGCAGGGGGAATTGTTTTACATGTGACAAAGATGATTATTTGAAATGACGAAAATGGATACGTTATCCTCTGAATGGGATAACTCATGTGCAGAAGCCTCACGCTCCCTAGGAGGCCATTGGTTTTTAATAGCCACAACCATCAACTGCACAGCTATTGAGTTTTATCCCAGCTATAAAAATAAACATGGCAAACAAGCTTAATTCTGTTCCATCCATTCCTGACAAGGACTAAAGAACTTGGTTACTTTTCTTTTATGTTCACCAAACACAAATTTTGGGAGTTACTTTTTTGAGCGAGCTCTCCAGTCTTCCACTAGCCCTGGGGATTCTGGGAATTTTAGTCCGAGAAATAATTTTTCCAAGCTCTGAAAATTACCCGTACATTCATATGTGTGCCCCAAACCGTTAAAAGTATGTAAGTTCTGGAGATTTATCCAGTAGGGGGCAGCCTGAGCCAAGAATTAAACATTTTCTGGCCATCTTAACCTTAAAGAATGGTTCTTGTTTATAAGTTAACTTGTTTCATAAATGCCTTTTATTTTCTTATATTGAGATTTAATTCCATTTGATTATTCTTGCTGTGTTCAGGTGGATACATATAGATGTATATTCATTTCTTCCATCTTTTTTCATTGTCTGTCTGGTCTAAAATTTCTTCAATGTAATGAAAACGGTAAGGTTTCTTTCTTTATTTGTAGAGAAAAAAAGTATAAACCAACATAATTGCCCCCTGGAGAATGAATTGAGATTTTATTTTTATTTTTCCTGACAAATACTATACAGTATTGAGGTTACCGCTGGGCGCCTGTTTTTCTCTCAGTTTGCACTACTGTTCTTTTTGTGAAAGAAAGCGGGCAAACTTGAGCGGTGAAAGTCGTCGGATAGCAGAGGACATACAGAACGCTTGATTTTATGAACCCTCTCTCTTTGAACTGATAAATCAATTCAATATGGTCAAGGATTCATAGAGCCTTAGGGCCTGTCCACACTGGGAAATTTGGTGCAATCCGGCCAGTGCTTTAAAAAAATCCTTATCTTCAGTGCAATCTATTTTAACTCTTGGCACCGTTCAGCAAAGGCAGAACAAAGAGCTATTTTGCATCATCCCGGAAAGATTGCATGCCCGAGCCGTGTGCCAGAAAGATACGGGCCAGCTCTTAAAGGGGAAGGACGGGTTGTTTTAAGTGGAAACAGAAGTGGACAAGGACTTTTTCCCCCCATGCCAAACAGTGCTATCAGAGAACCATATATCATAATTATATGCCAGTGTGGACAGGCTCTTAGTTTCAATGTGGCTCCTTTCCCTTAGGATGTTGAATGCTGTGTTTCTGGGATACTGGCCGTCCTGGAAAAAAAAAAAGTAAGGGAGAGTTTGTGGGGTGGAATACCATTCCCAGAATCCCTTCAGCCACCATGGGGTGGGGGTCAAGCTGGCCGAAGGAGAAGCTGGGAGTTAAGAGCCCAAGGAAAGTAACTTAAATTCGGAACATGGTGATGATGTTATTAGAAACTTATGAAAGATTTAGCAAAAGCCTTGCCCTGAAGCCTGACACCTCCTCATGGAACCTTGTAGTATGATTTGTCTTTTTATTATTCTGCATGGAACTGCTTAACAAACAACAAACTTGTAGTATGATTTGTCTTTTTATTATTCCCTTTTCAAAACATGGGAGGAAGGTGAGCCAGCGTGTGGCTTCACCTTAATATTCATATTTTCAATCATTCCCGTCCTTGAAGATGGTCAAGGCAGCATGCATGGGCTGCGCCCCCATTTTTACCTTCCTAGCAGCCTTATCAGGTAGGTTAAGACTCTGAGAGAGAGTAACTGGATCCAGGTCATTCAACCAGGCTTCAGGGCAGTGGAGGATTTGAACTCAGATCTCCCCAACTTCAGGCTACCAATGACAGCTGCATCAGGCCGGTCCTCACCACTGCATCCTACTTGTTTTCTCTTGATCAGTTTGCACAATGCCCTCTGAGATTTGTGGGTTCTCCGAAGATCTTCCCTCGGCGGTGCCATGCGTTGACGGTCTACATGAAGCAACCCACGGAGTCAGAACAGCGGCTCATCCCTTCCTGTAGAGCCCCCCCTGGGGGGGGAGCCGGGACCATTTCTCCCTCTGCAGTCTCTGCTTTTTCCAGTGTGAGAACAGCAGCCCAGTTTTTCAGAGTTGAGGGGAAAGGTCTTTTATTTTTAGCCGGGGAAGGAAGCCCGCTGGGGGCGTTCTTGCCCCCAAACAAGCCTCCCAGCCTTTGTTTTCCCAAAACGCCTTCTCTGGAACGCGCCCAAGGACCGAAAGACAGACTCCCAGCATCGTAGCTGAGCTCCAGAACCCTTGGAAATTCAGGAAGTCACACCTGGAAGCTCTGAGGAGGCTGAGAATAAACACAAGTTGGGTATCCCGGACACTCAGGGACACGGTGCCAAACAAGATCTTGGAAATGCTGCACTATGCTGGCTGAGGGATTTGGGGAGTTGTAGTTCAAAAAAGAGATACAGAGTGACATTTCCAGGGTCTGGGCCAAACAGACATCCTAATTAAGTTCTTTGCCAAATCAGTATTTTTTTAAAAATAAATAAATAGGGCTCTATTCTTTAAAGTTATGTAGGTTACAACCTCTCTGGGCCAAACAGACATCCTAATTAAGTATTTTCCAAACCAGTATCTTTAAAAAATAAATAAATACTGTAGGGTTTTATTCTTTAAAGTTATGTAGGTTACAACCTATGGCTTTTTTTAAAGGCACTCCGTGTGCTTGGCTTGGAACCTGGAGGCAGATCTGAGGTGGAAGGGAGAGGAAGGCAGACAATCCAAGCAGAACTAGAGCTATTGAGGTCTAGCCAGCGTCAGCGTGTGGTTTCCAACCAAACCCCAAGGCGATCTCTGGATCCCTGTTACGAGGGAGAGACCCCGAGGCATCGCTAGGGTCAGCTCATGACGACAGTCTTTTGTGGCAAAGGTCTCTCGCTTCCCGCCTGTGAAAGCCCCCGGCTGTGTCCACCACCAAGACATGTCCTGTCCTGGCGTCCTGTGGGTTTTTGCAACAGGATCTGGGGCTGAGCGCCCTCAGCACCAGCAGAAGGCCCTCCCTGCTTCCCAGGAAGGTGGCAGGGTGCGGAGAGCACAGTGGAGGGTGAGATCCAGCTCCATAGCTTTGCTAAGTGCAGAGAGCACAGTGGGGGGTGAGATCCAGCTCCATAGCTTTGCTAATTTTTGTTCCTTTGGGTATGAATGGTGACGATTACTAGAATGAATATTGAAATTTAGATGACTTTAAGTTCTGGACTTCATGGTTTCACAGAGGCTTCCCCCAAAGCAGCTGATCAGGTTTGGGGGATTCCTGGAAGTGACCAGACGGGAAATATCTAGTGTAATAGTGACATCTCCAGGATTAGAAGTGGGTGTTCTCCAGAGGCCGAAGGACCACCGAAACCCACCCTTGGAGGTCCTGCTCCTGATCTCCTCGACAGTCCATTGAGCCAAACAAGAGTGAGGGACGATGCACTTCTATGAACAGAGAGAGGAGGAATTCAATTTCTCCCTGCACTTTGCAATAACGGTCCGAGAACTCTCTGACATCTCCCTTATTCTTAAAATCCAGAGACGTGTGCATTACAAACAGACGCACACCGCAATAGAAGCCAGGCTGGGCATCTTCAGCTTCTCCCTGGGGTACCCGCGCTTCTTTCCTGGAAGACGGAAACATTATTGCTGACTCTTCCTTTCAATTTCAATTTGTTTTCCTAAAGCGGAGATGCTTACTGAGCGCCTAAGTGAATCCGCAGATCAATACTTGGGCAAGTGCTGGCATTGGAAAGGAAAAAGATAAGAGCCCTGTGCTGGATCAGGCCAGGGGCCCCTCTAGTCCAGCTTCCTGTCTCTTCTTTAGAGAAGTTTTTCGGACATGCCCTGTTTCCATCTTGCTTACATTTTCTCTGCTCTGGGTTTTAAAATATGGTGTTTATATATGGCGGAATTCAACACAAGCTGCCCTTAGAAACAAAGATGTCATCAGAGAGATGGATTTTTCATAGGGTGCTAAGAATTTCCTAGATCAAGAAGGTAACCAGTGGAGAACTATTCTTTTTTTTTTAAGTAACTTTCCAAGCTATAATCTATGTGTTGTAGAGACGGACACAAACCACAGGTTCATTGATTCATGCTGGTTCGTGCTTTGTCCAAACAGTTGATTGGCACTTCCAAACTCTGCCTCCTCAGGTGGGTGCCCATTCAGAGGCAGTGCCCAGAGGAGGCAGGGCAGAACACTCAGGGCCACTGCTTCTGAGCAGGCGCCTATCAGAGGAGGCAGGGTTTGGAAGTGGCAAACACAAATGGCTGACCAGCAGTTCATGCCCCTCTCTTTTGTTGTTGTTGCTTAGTCATTTAGTCGTGTCCGACTCTTCGTGACCCCATGGACCAGAGCATGCCAGGCCCTCCTGTCTTCCACGGCCTCCCGGAGTTGGGTCAAATTCATGTTGGTTGCTTCGATGAC